AAAAGAAGTCAGGAGCAGTTGCCGGTAAGCGCGAAACCGCGCTTGCCCGAAAAGGGCGCAAAGCAACGGAAACCCCACCTCCTGCACTCGCCAGCTGGGCTCTGCTCTAGGAAGGAGGCTCTGGCAAACCAATTCCGAAACAATTGCCTTGAAAACTTCAAGGACTCGTCCAAGCAGTCACTGCAGGGTCAGTAATGACTGAGCGCAGACAAAAAAAAAAAAAAAAATCAGCAGATTGTTTTTTCTTAAAAAAGATAATTATTTTAATATAAGCATTTATAAGAAGTATCTTAAAAGAAGTATATGAACAAGCAAATAAATGCTTTTTAAAAAATAATTTAAAAATAAAGCAATTATTCTTATTTTCAGAATTATTTTTTCTCATATTTATCAGTTTAGCTAATCAACTCTCTTGATACCCACAATTTTTTAAAATTAAGTGATAATATAATACAAAACATATTTTATCTATAGATCATATGCAAAAAGTGCTTTTTCTTGAATCTTCTTTGCTACATTTTATCTGTAGATCATATACAAAAAAAAAAATTTTCTTCTTGAATCTTCTTTGTTACAAAAATGTTAATACATCAAAAACAAAGAACAAAAGAACAAAGAAAGGCTGCCATTCTCCTTAGCATGGGTACCCAACAATTTCCTGTTCTGTTATTTCTGTCTACATCAACATCAAAGTGTGAGGAAAGAGCAATGAAATAGTTCTTGCCCCTACAATTAATTACTTATAGCAACCTAACATCATTAATTCTCTACAAATATGATCTGTTTAGTTACAGAGATAATTGAGTGCAATTCAGGGTAAACTTTTCAATTAAACGTTTCACTTATGAGCAGGCCAGCACTGTTAACAAGGTCAAGAATGAAAATATGTACATTTACAAACTATAATTAATACAGCATAAGCATAAGTCAGTATTTTATATAGCAGAATCAGGTAAGTAAGGCAATTGGTAAATCATTCATAAGAACTTTTACAAAATGCAGTGCCATACCTTCAATGGCTATTCGCCTTTTAGGCCAGTTCTTGTTTTCTCTAGTTAAAAGTTCTTGTACCCGTATGCTGATAACATATTCTTCCAAAGCAAATTCCAGTGTATAAAACTTCAGCAATTCTAACCAGAGTTGTCCCAGAGATATCTGGTGTGGTGTTTCCAATGCCAATGGAGACTGAAAAAAGCAGAAAAAGAAAGCTTAATATGTTTCAATTCAAGAAAAGAATAATAATAAAAAGAGCACTTTGCAATTAAAAGGAATCACTTACATGGCCTTTTTTCTCTTTCGGATTATTCTGGACATCTGGCTCCAAGGCTGCTGTACTCTTGTTACTATTTCTGTGCTGTTCTCCTTTAGTTTTGCCTTCTACAGCATTTACATTTTTCCCTGCTCCATTATTTAATAGTTTGTATTCCCACACTATGAACTTCTTGTCTTTTATTCCCTTCAGTTGGTAATCATCAGCCTTCTTAGAATCAAAGCCTTCAATCTAAACAAACAAAGTACTTTCCGTATGTAATCTTATAGTCTTATAAAACATAAACAGTTATCTTATACTATAAATGATATCTATATCTAGTCCTGATATGAATCCAAAAGCTTCTTTAGGTATCTTCCCTGCACTTTTTGAGTAACGCCTCTGTTCCATGGAATAAATAATATGGTTCTTTGAGTTTAAAGCTTACCCAGTTGCCTAAATATGATGGTAGTATACGTGGTTCCCTTTGTTGAAGGAAAAATATCACCATTAAGGCAAAGGAATATGAAGGGATCCCACCTTCTGCCTGGCAGTCAATATGACATAGCTATAAAAAAAAGAAGAAAAGACAGATCTTTCTTCTGTTACGTACTTCTATTTTTTTTTCTTTGCACACCTTGAATTTTTAAAGCATTTTTCAGTCATACACTGTATATAATTAGGCAACTATAGCAATATAGAGGCTATATGTACCTAAAATTCCAAAATGGAAAATAAAGGCTTGGAATAAAAAGCAAAACAAATATAGATACATCTGTAATCTACAAATCTGACAGAGGTAATTAGCATGCAACATTTAAATAACACCTTTCCTTAACCAAACCTGAAGGAAAACTAAACATTTAACTAGTAAAAAAAATTGAACAAGTGGAATGCCATTACATAAGCAAGATTTAAATGGAAGGCACTCATTAAATACAGAAATTCTCATTATTCAGAAGATGGAATTATGGGTAGGCCTCAGTTTATGATGGCAATTGGGTCCGGAATTGCTGTCACTAAGCAACACGGTTGTAAAGCATGACATCATGTGACTGCATTGCTTAGTGACAGCAATCCCGGTTGCTGTCATTAAACAAGGACCACACACTAAACAAGGACCTCACATGACTGCAATTTCTGAGTTCCTGCCAGCCTCCACATTGACTTTGCTTGTGTGAAGCTGGTAGGGAGGGTTGGAAATTGTGATCATGTGATCGCAGGTTGCTACAATGTCATAATTGCAAGATGGGTGTCAAGCGCCTGGATCACAATTACGTGACCACAGGGATGCTGCAACAGCTGGAACTCAGAGGACCAGTTGTAAGTACCATTCATTCAGCGCCTTTGTACCTTTGAACGGTTGCTGACTGAATGGTCGTAACCCGAAGACTACCTATACAGTCATACACATAACATATTCTTACATGTCAGACTGTATGTGTTAGACACATCCCTCCAAATATAAAATATGGAGAGAAATTATTCTTAATCAGACCACCACTCTTTTTCTTCATTATTTGCATTTACATCAATTTAACAGTTACTCTCAGAAAACACTAAAGCAGTGTTTTTCAGTGTTTAGTTTTACAAGTACCAGCAACCAATGTAGGGAGAAGAAAATAGTATACCAAAGATGCAAAAGATGCTCTAGTGCAGTGTTTCTCAAACTTGGCAACTTTAAGATGTGTAGACTTCAATTCCCAGAATTCCCTAGCCAGCCATACTGGACGGGGAATTCTGGGAGTTGAAGTCCACATATCTTAAAGATGCCAAGTTTGAGAAACACTGCACTAGAGCATCTTTGGTATACTATTTTCTTCTCCCTACATTGGTTGCTGGTACTTGTAAAACTAAACTAATTTAGACAGAAAAAAATGCAGCACAATGGGCCCAAACGAATCAAATTGTGAATTTGTTACAAGTTTTACTTCAAAGTTCAATTTTTCAAATTGTATTGGGTCTACTCACATTCTGGAACATTTTTCAAAAAGTATGAGGAATTTCCGTGAAAATAAAGCTGAAAAGCCAAAAGCTGAGGGGTTGGGGAGTTGGATGCACTGTATCATGGTAGTTCTCCTCCTTTCTCTTTCGGCAGTTCTAGTTAGCATGCATGGGGAGAGAGGCCATGCCCTATGTGAGGTGCCTCACACTCTCTCCACTCCTATTTAACAACTACATGGAACTTTTGGGAAAAATCATCCATTGATTGATTTTAATCAATATGCTGATGATACTCAGTTATACATCTTGACCCCTGTGATGCTGCCAATGTCCTATCTGAGTGCCTGAAATCTGTATGAATTTGGATGGGGAGAAATAGACCCCAGTTCATGTGGCCAAGACCAAGTGGCTGTGGATATTAGGGACCCCTGGATCCAGTGACCTGCCATCTGTAGTCTTGGATGAGGCTGCACTACTCTATTCATGACTGGTGTGCAGTCTGGGGGTTGTCTGGGACTCAAAGCTTCTGCTCAAAGAGCAGGTTGCAGCTGTGGCCAAGAGGGCCTTAGAACATCGGCACCAGTTTCTGGATCACAAGGCCTTTCAGATAGGACTTTCATGTCCTTGTCACTTCCAGCTGGATTATTGCAATACACTCTAATGGAGCTGCCCTTGAAGACCATTTGGAAGCTACAGCTGGTCCAGAATGCAGTGGCATGGCACTGATGAGCATGTCTGAGTATGCCCATGTATCCCCACTGGTCCATGAACTGCACTGGTAGAGATTGAGCTTTCAGGTGGAATTCAAGGTGCTGGTTATTACTTATAAAACCCTTCACGGTATAAGGCCTAGTTATTTGAAGGAGTGCTTATCTTTCCAGGTTGCTGCCCATCTGGTAAGATTGGGTAGAGTTGGTGCACTGAGGGTCCCATCTAAAAAACAATGCCATCTATTGGGAACCAGGAAGCATGCCTTTTCTGTTGCAGTCCCTGCCCTCTGGAATAGCATCTCTCCAGAATTCTATGTGGCTCACACTAATAAGAAAGTCCTTAAAAACCTGGATCTTCTCCTAGGCTCTGGAAAAGGGTGATTATTGAACATCTGTTGGGTGTATTTTGTGTAGTGCTTAGAATTTACATTTGGACATGTATATTTATTTACTGCTTTTTATTTTTTATCACGTAAGCCATCCAGAGTTGCTCTAAAGTCAGGCAGTTTTAAATCTAATAATAGATAAATATATAATTAAAAGCATTGAAGTTCACTAAAAATGATTATTTTTATCTATTTAGTTACAAATACTGGTTAAATGTTTTTGAGGAAACCTTGTGTGTTTTGACTGAAGTTGAAGACAAATTCAACTATTAGTAACATTTCCAATAGGGGGTGAAACAGCCACTATATTTAATTGCTATAATATTCCTATGTGTATTCTGATATCTAATTAATTTAAGCTATCAGGTTATACATTTACCTTAATATTTTGGCCATACAGATTTCATGAATTCATTACATTTTTTCTGATACAACCCATGCCTTTCATAGTACCTTGTTTAATAAAGATATTCTAAGAACACAAAAGGTTGACCAGAATTTTGTGCACATTTGGCTAGTCCTAATAAAGGCAATGCCTAAATAATGTTTTCGGATTGGTGGGGAGCGAACCACAGAACTTGCTTTATCGACACTTTCTGATTCAGAAAAAGAGATTTTCTTCTAACAGAAATATATAAGTAAAATGACTGTTTGTTATATTACTTACATTAGAATATTATCAATACTATTTATATTATTAAGTTCATGCAAGGAACAAATACATATTTTAAAAACTTACTCTAGCCCAGTAGCGAAAAGCCAACACCAAAGGAACAAGGACTGGCTCTAGTTTGCCGAGTGCAGCTAGCAGGTCAGTTGTAAGGCAGGCCACATCATTTCCAGCACTTACTTTACAAGTTAAACCACTGACATTGAAACAAATTTTGAGAAAAGGTGTAAGTTCTATCACTTCTTGTGAGTGAAATTTGAAAAAACAAAAACAATAAACATGCAGTTCTTTGTTTTACAATGCAATTTGCATTAATTTCTTTTCACATGGTGGTTTTTTCTCCCAGCGGATATTGAAATCTATTTATTTTATTTTTAAAGCCCCAGTAGCTTCAATGGAAAGATTATGTATATACCCAGATCTCTTCTTCTGAAATCAGTCTGTCAAGTGCTTAATATTTTGTTTGAACTGTCATTGTTGAGTCTGTGGTAGCTGTAAATATCCTCCTTAACAAATTGAGAAAATAATTTTAAATTAAGTCCTTTGTAATGTGAAAGATGAGCCTATACAAAAAATACACAAACCTTTTAACATCTTTACAAAAAACAACAGGAACTTTGGCATGGAAATCTGATTCCACATCAGAGTAAGATGCTGAAAGAGGAAAAAAAGTATATCAAGAAATAATCATTTCCATAGTACTCCCATGCTGATTTAAAGTCATCTGAGTAATACATATATATATGTCAGATCCCTTTATTTTCTCCACAACAGATTATAAAGAAATTAAGCAAGAAATAATGAAGGAGCAAACTTACCACTATTTTTTAAAATATCGAGCACTTGTATCAAAACATCTGGATGACTCATCTAAAATAATAATAAAGTTATTTTATTCTCACATCGATTCTATTGAATGCAAGTAGTGTATTATCCAATCCTCTGTTTCCTGGCACAAGTAGAATATCATATCTTTTGTATGTGCAAACAGAGATGAAAATAGGTTTACATTTAGAAATTTGATCCTGGCATTCAAGAATTGTACATGCTAACAACTATCCCTACAATGTTAACTCAATGTCAGCATTTTTCCCACCCAGCACACTACACAAAAACAATTGCTGCTCAGTTAAACTGGCATATAAAAAGCAATACTGTACTTAAATCTGCTAATCCTAACACTAAAAGGCTTGAAGCAAAGACTAAGGGACAATGTTGACCAGACAAACTAATTCACTAAGGCTGGGAGGATGATGGTATCAAAAGAGGCCAGAGGTCCAGACCTGGGAATCTTTAACACTATCAAGTCCTAACGAAGCATCAACTTATCCTACTTGTGTCGTTTCCAGTCATTCCAAAACAATCTCCACAAGGGACCAAGGTTTATATTTTTATTACTACTGTACTGATAACCCATCTGGCCTGGGGGATGTAGCTGCCAAGTTATATTCCAAATTTAATATACATATATGATTTTTTGCAATTATCTATTTTTTTGCAATTATATCTTTTGTTTTCTTTTTTGTTATAGATGTTTTATGCAATAACTTTTTAAAAAACACTGTACAGATGGAACATAACATAATCCCGTATTCAGAATCCACTTTGGAGATATAAACAAAATCAAGGTGGGTTTATTTCTTTCTCAGAACTTTCTCAGTAATCATTTCTGCAAATCCCCCTTTAATGGCTTGTTCATTCTTTCCCTATGGCTACGATCAACTCTACATTCTTTTATACCTCTATGGATTCCTATCTTAGAATTTCTAGATGTCAAGATCTTTCACTGAAATTTGAACTAGTTTGTCTTTGGTCACCTTCTTGCTTTCTTTCCTTTTCCTTTGCACATGGTCTGCTTAATGAGTATGCCTATATATGAATGAAACTTGAATTTACAATTTGGGGATTAGCCTAATAGATTCTACTACAACAAGGTAAGAACTGCCATTTGTGAGGCCAGGACAAGACTTAAGTGAACCTTGATGCCTGCATATATAGTGCATTAGACTTGGGGCCAAACCTCATATTTGGTTGGAAAAGTAAGTTCCTTAATGCCTCTACTTCTTTGTAGTTGTGAGATTTGATGAATGCCTTTCATATTGTTTCATATATTTATAAAGTGAATTATTTCCACCAGGCTCTGGTAAGTGTACATCTCTGATGACAGTAGCTAGATTCAGTCAGACACTGAGAGCCACTTACATATTGAGTATGTATGGATGAAATTATGTATACTGCTCATATTAACACAATTATTGCCTCTAAATGAAGAAAATAAAGTATGGTGCCTCATTTCCTAATTAGGAGAACATCTGTCAACACAGTACTTGTGCATGTTTATTCTAAGTTAGCAGAGCAAAATGCTGGAATTTCTTAAAAGTCCAATCAATCAAAGCTATGATTAGATTCTAAACTATAGTTATTCCTCTGGGTAGCTTGATTTGAATATTGAGCTTTTAGCCTGAGTAACTATGATTCTTGGAGGACTGTGAATGCTACATCCCTGCATACTTCACATAAATGGCAGTAAATAGCAACTGAAGAGGTAATTCCTGGCATTTTGTTCTAGTGTAGGACTAGGTACTGCAGCAGGTAAAATGGATATACCCAAATTGAAGCTCCAAAAAGAAGATCAATTTTCACATTCAGATGGCTGTACCTCTTAAAATTTGTGGCAGTCCAAAAACTTGTCAATGTATTTAAAACTAGGATAATGACCTATTTTTCTTCCAGATGATCTCTAAAGATAATTGAATAGATTCTAAGGATAATACACTGTTCTATTATTTGGTCAGAGTCTATAAGTTTGGAGATGGTATAAACTTAATTTGCTCCAGATATCCATGACAAAGATTTCTCTGAGAACTTCTAGGCAAACTACTGAAGTCTCTCTCCAAAAGAAGGCTGCAAATGTCAGAATTGCTGATGATTATCCCCTGTGGATTAGAAGTTATTGTTTTCCAGACGGCCTGTGGTAAAATATCACTTACAGTGGGGCAAAAAAGTATTTAGTCAGCCACCAATTGTGCAAGTTCTCCCACTTAAAAAGATGAGAGAGGCCTGTAATTTAAAGGGACCAGGATGACTGATCCGTGTAAAGGAAAATTACAGGCCTCTCTCATCTTTTTAAGTGGGAGAACTTGCACAATTGGTGGCTGACTAAATACTTTTTTGCCCCACTGTAAGTGATAAAAATTACAGGCCTCTCTCATCTTTTTAAGTGGGAGAACTTGCACAATTGGTGGCTGACTAAATACTTTTTTGCCCCACTGTAAGTGATAAAAATTACAGGCCTCTCTCATCTTTTTAAGTGGGAGAACTTGCACAATTGGTGGCTGACTAAATACTTTTTTGCCCCACTGTAAGTGATAAAAATTACAGGCCTCTCTCATCTTTTTAAGTGGGAGAACTTGCACAATTGGTGGCTGACTAAATACTTTTTTGCCCCACTGTAAGTGATAAAAATTACAGGCCTCTCTCATCTTTTTAAGTGGGAGAACTTGCACAATTGGTGGCTGACTAAATACTTTTTTGCCCCACTGTAAGTGATAAAAATTACAGGCCTCTCTCATCTTTTTAAGTGGGAGAACTTGCACAATTGGTGGCTGACTAAATACTTTTTTGCCCCACTGTAAGTGATAAAAATTACAGGCCTCTCTCATCTTTTTAAGTGGGAGAACTTGCACAATTGGTGGCTGACTAAATACTTTTTTGCCCCACTGTAAGTGATAAAAATTACAGGCCTCTCTCATCTTTTTAAGTGGGAGAACTTGCACAATTGGTGGCTGACTAAATACTTTTTTGCCCCACTGTAAGTGATAAAAATTACAGGCCTCTCTCATCTTTTTAAGTGGGAGAACTTGCACAATTGGTGGCTGACTAAATACTTTTTTGCCCCACTGTACATAGCTGTAAGAATATTTGTGTATCTGTATGATCTAACAATTTATGCAGCAATTCTTGTAACAGTGCATTAGTTTGCAATGTAAGCATTTTAATGTGTGACTGGAGAATGAAAGCCTATTGATTATGTATTAATCATTGCTTATTAAAAGGATTAGTACAACACAGAACTTGCATTTGTATTTTTACAATATATTAAAGCATTTTTAAAAAGATGACTGTGTGCAGAAAGGGATAAGAGATGGAACACTTTCAGATGAACAGCAAAACCAAAAAACCATAGGGATCCTATGTGAAGCCTACTTAAGCAAAGATTTATAGATGCATGCTGATTTCCAGAACCAGTTAATGGATATGACAGAATGTTCTTTGAGAAGATTCTAGAAGATAGCCAACTAATCAAAACTCCCTTTTTATAGCAAAAAAGGTTCCATCTGCAAAAATGGGACCACCTGCATGCCATCTCATGTCCTGCCTTCTGTTATACAATTGCTTTGGACTAGCTATTGAAAAGTGCAACAATGTGAACTGAATGAAGAATTAGAATGTAGGGTTATTTAGATTTACAAGAAGCTAAATTTCTATCCTCTGCTTTTGTACAGTCTTTTGTTGGATTGTTCAATATTCCTTTCTATCAATCGTTCAATGAGAATCTGATCACCATGCCCTGTCTGGAAATAAATTAAATTATGCATACATCTCTATACCACATGGGCAGAATACTGATTTTTTTCCCATGAATCAGAGTTTGCATTTACAACCAGATGTTTTCCAGTTCTGCTGGAATTCTGCTAGAATTCCCAGCTAAAATCTATTAGCATGAGGGGTTTCCTCAATCTATGGTTAGATTGTTTGCTACCTTCCTTGTCTGAATACTTTTAAATGGCAACATTCCCTGGGAATGTTAGCCTTTTGCATATATGGTTTCTCAAGAGTAAGATGAAAGGATCTGAAGATTCAGCAGAATAGTTATCCAAGGAATGGGATTGCTTTGACAGATTTAGGTTAGAGTTACCACATCTAGGCTGCAAAACTGATGACAAACAGATGACAGCAAACATCTAGAGTTTTCTGTATCTAATGATCATACAGATTTTTGCTATAAATGTTATTGTCAAGTAAGTAAACTGAACTGAAATTCAAATCCAAAGAAATCTCTCTTATTGGGCTCAGTAAAGCTTCAAAATTATTCAAAACTGGATTGTGTAAAACATCCTTCTGAAGCTGCTTCATGAAGTAACTCTTGTTTCCACTTTTACAATTAAAGCAGTAAGAGTATGTTGATTTGTTCTGTCTTGCCTCAAGGCCTCATTCAGCAGTTACAGGAGCTGAACAAGGCTTCTCTATGTACACAGAAGCTCTTCTAACTTTTCTATCACCTACTAGAAGCACTGGACATAGTCTCAAATTGACATGAAGCCTCAAACTGACATGAAGTGCTTCATCTCCCCAACAAGGAGAATCACACTCGCCCAAGAAGGAAAATTGCACTGCCTCTGTGGCATAAAGCTCCTTGCTGAAGCAAAACAATCTCCTTGCACATGCCTGTATCTTGGTATGAAAAAACATTTGAGACCATAGATATAATCTATTAAACTACAGTTCGTTAAATAATGTGACAAATATTTAACTTACCGTGGAGGGAAATTTTATATCAATATTAACATCACTGGTTTTAAAAGCAAATCTAGTTAGACAGGATCCATACATCCTCAGTGAACATTCTAGAAATAAAGAAAGAGTTCTGTAAGTGATCATGTGGCTATGATCACCTTTTCCCCCAAACTTTTATATTATTACAGCAGTCACTGAATTATGTTAAGCCATAATTCACTATTAAATGCACAAACAGGAAAATACTTATGGAAGATGAAGGTTCAGATATTCCCCTTTTATTTCTTCCACACAGACAGGTGAAAGAATGAATCATAATTCAGTTTTGGTTTATCAGATTCCTGATGTTGATTGTTCTATGCAAACTGATAATTGTGGTTTAACATAAACCCTGGAGATTCTTCCATCAGTAAATGTGATTCTGAGACACTTCTATATGTGTGTCCATATATGTATGCGTAGATATGCGCTAGCAAGAGGACATATTAAAAAAAGGGCAGGGTCAGGAAAATGGATGGATGGATGGATGGATGGATGGATGGATGGATGGATGGGTACAGACTAAAATTAATGGCTTGAAAAATAAGGCACCTCATTTGCAAAATTAATTGATATTTATTTATTTATTTATTTATTTATTTATTTAATTAATTAATATGGCTGGCCATCTCAATATCCTGGCTCTGGGCAACTAACAATTAAAAACATAGTAAAACAATAACATCACAATAAATACATAACTGGCAACCAAGATAAAAAACCATCACAACAATCAGTATAGCCATTCCATGGCATGAACTCTGCCATACCTCTCAGCCCCCATGCCCAGTGATAGAATCAAATCTTCAAGGCTTTAGAAAAGGCCAACAGGATTGTGGTTAATCTAATCTCCGGGGGATAATGTTCCAAAGAGCAGGTACCACAACAGAAAAGACTCTCCTCCTGAGTCCTGCCACATAGCATTCTTTATAGACAGGACCCATAGCATGCCTCTCCTGCCAGATCTGATGGGATGGGTAGACACAATTGGGGAAATGCATTCCCTAAGATACACCAGCCCCATGCTATGAATGGCTGTATAGGTAACTACCAGCACCCTGAATTGAACCCAGAAACACAATGGCAATCAGTGCAGCTCATGGAGGTTGTAATATGCGCTGATCTAGGAGTGTACATAACTATCCATGCTGCTGCATTCTGAACCAGCTGCAGCTTCCAGATGCTCTTCAATGGCAGCCCCATGTAAAGCACATATCAGTACTCCATTTGAGGGGTGACTAAGGCATGAGTGACTATGAGCAGAGCCTCTTGGTTCAGGAATGGGCACAACTGATGCACAACACAAAATTCTGCAAAAATATCACTTAGTCAGAGATGGAGATATAAAGCTGGGTATCATCAGCATTCTAATGATACCTCATCTGATGCCATTGAATGACCTCACCCAGCAGCTTCATGTTAATACTAAACAGGAGTGGGGAGAGTGGGGAGGCCTGTGGGACCCAGCAAATTAGGGGCTGCAGGCTAGATCTTATCCCCTATCAATACTGACTGGTACTGGCCCCAAAAGGCGGAAGAAAATCAGCACAACACAGTGCTGCCCACTCCCAATCCCCAAAACCAATCCAGAAGGAAATCATGATCAATGGTATTAAAGGCCACTGAGAGGCCTAGAAAAGCAAGGATGGATGCACCACCCCATCCCTCTCCCACCAGAGGTCATCCACCAGCACAATCAAAGCCATTTTGTTCCCATGCCCAAGCCTAACTGAAAGAGTCTGACTGAAAGGGGGTTTTAGGTATGGCCTCACATGCAAAGTGTTCTCTCCCACACATTCAAACAATACACAGAAAATACTTACACAGAGAAACATAGAACACAGAGGTCCCAGATAAGCATGTTTAGAACTTCTAGATCTGCTCAGTCATGGAGCTAGACTAGTTTTATCTTGCTGCTGTATACATGAAGATGGACAGTGTCTAAAATGAATAGCCTCTTTATCCATGAGGACTCTGAACTGATTGAGTATCCTAACTTTTCAAAATTGTCATTCACATGCAGAGTCTCTGTACCTGAAGCAGTAACAACAGCTCCTCCTTTTGTTTCACCCACTTACCTTCATTATTTGCACCACTTCCAACATCTCCCTCTATTACTGTATTTTTAGCAAATGTACAAAGACACCCTCTGCCCAATTTTCTTTTCATGTAGATACAGCAAAATATAATTAGAATGAAAAAGTCTAGTCTAGTGCTTCTTTAGGAATGACAGTGTGCTTCAATATTTGGAAGCAGAAACACAATATGCATAGTAAAGAAGCTGTCATTTTATAAGATCACTATTATTATGAGGAAACAATAGAATTTGCAACTCTTTAATTTTACTTTTTTAGAAGTCATGTAACAACAATTAATCAATGCCTTATTGATATTGTTTTCTATTATAAGCAGCAATCTTAACTTTGCTATTCTAATTCTAAAATGCCCTGCTAAGTGGCAGCAGCCAGCTGACCTTGCTGATCTCAAAAAGCTAATCGTGATTAGACCTGGTTAGCATTTAGATGAGAGATACCAGGAAGTTACCTGGTAAGTATTGCTGAATTATCTTTTCCATATCATATACAATTTCTTGGCGGACTTTGAAATCATCATCTGATATTCCTTGTTCTTTTGCTGCCTCCATCAGCATAACATTCAAAGCAGTAACTTGTGCAGGGGAAGGGGAAGGGAGGGCACGGAGCTCATTTTCTTCTTGTTTTTCCTAATGAAAAACACAAGGTAAAAAGTAATGTTTTGATCTTTAACACAAAAATCCTCCAAATATCAATTCAGTTCTTCAAAAACGTATTTATTTATTTATTTATTTATTTATGTGTGCTGACAAGTACTGAAGTCTTTAGGTAGTCTGCAGTTTAAAATCTAAACTGTAAATAGCAATTAAAACAACTGAAACAAGAATTAACAAGTAAGGGTCTGTTGAAAAATATATGTTTAAAGGGCCTTTTAAAAATTTAATAAAGATATTAGGCCCTCAATTCTTTAGGGAGAACATTCTAAAGATCTGGGAATGGTAACCAAGGCGGCTCATTCCTGAACAGCCACCAGATAAACTCACAGCAACAACAGATCAACAACTTTAGATGATCTCAGCAACTGTGGGGGCACACACACAGAGCTTACTACTAGAGTCAAATATGAAAGTTCCCAGCACTACAGCTTTATGGTAATTTTCTTCCAGAAACTGATGCAGCTGCTCTACCAATTAAAGCTGATAAAAAGCACTGCTGATGGTGCCTGAATCTGGGAAATGGGGGGGGGAGAGAGAGAGAGAGAGAGAGAGAGAGAGAGAGAGAGAGAGAG